AAAAAAAAAAATAATAAAAAATACGTAGGTCATTATATATGTCATATATAGATGTTTGTATATCTGATATATAATTGCGACCACAAAGGCGATGTGTCACATTATGGAAGGCAACATATTTTTTATCATTTTTTAGTAAAGTTGATAGATCCCTTGTAAACAATATCTTTTTTTCTTTTTTTTTTACGTCCATTCAAGTGCTTCCCGCAACACAAATTCGATCCCGAATTAGAATGTATTTTGGGATAAAATTATCATATTTAAACAAAAGATGACGTTTGATTGATGGTCCACCCGGATCTTAAAGATGAATTCATTGAATGAAATCGCTAAGAAATTTGAGAACCATACATGAAGATGTCCTGAGGCTTCGAAAATTGCTCATCCATTGGACTAAAATTGCGATGAGAAAAACAATCCCCCGAATACCCTGCGGCCTTCAAAATTAATCTCATATTTCCTTCAAGTTTCCCTGCGTTGACACGACTTTATCAAACTGCATTATCGGAATCCCTTCTAGGTCCATGGAGAAGACGTCGTCAATCTGATCAAAATCGTGGAAGATGCGATGAACAAAGTAGGCGATTATGGAAATAATTTTGTTGGGCCCCTGAGGGAGAAATTGAGCTCCGACTACTTGAGGACGAAAACGTCCCTCGATATAAAGATCAACCAAATGTACAACGAATCATTGGTGAGTTGTCTCCAAGAATTGGATAACTCAAGCAAATATTTACATGACAATACCTGAACAAATACAGATAGCGGTGAAATCAGCAGCTGATAAAAATGGAGTTAACGCCAGCATTTGCGTTGAGGGCCTAAAACAAGAACTGGATGGCATAATTACCGACAAATTTCCAGATTTCGAATTCTGTATGAAGCACACAATGAACTTCGCCATGGAATTCACGGCATTCATCCAGAACCAGGGGAATGTGAGTGAATTCGTAAATTCGTAAATTCCCTCACCCCATAAACTTATCATCGGAGAGATAAGAAGTCGTAAATTTTTGGAGTAATAGCTCTGAATTTATGAGAGATCCCGAAGTTTTATTAGAAAACTTTTAGTAGCTCTAAATCCGCTCTGCAAAAAACATTCAGCTAAAAATTCAGTTATCTACCTTACATTCAGAGAAATTCCCCGAATACTCGAAGAGACAAATCTCCATTTCAGCACGTCCTGATTGAATTATGGTGTTAATTCACTCGTTATCAGCACTAGTACGGGGCAAGTGTTATCATTTCAGACTGGATACGTAATGATCGAAGGTCTTCAGCAACTCAGGAAGAGCTACAGTAAACTACCAGTGTCCCACGCAGAGAAATGCTACGAAGGGCTCACCTGGTATACGTCAGCAGTTTCCCACAACTACGCGGGCAGTTCTGGAAGACTTGTGGATGTTGGTCAAAGCCTGTACAATTATTCAGTGCAAAACGTTTTCAACTGCTTCCAGAAGCCCATAGCACTCATCAGAGAGGAGCTGCTAACCGTTGAGGGTCGCGTTAAGAAATGCATTGCAGACAAGATTAATAACAAACCTCTAGAAAACCTCTAGAAAATTTATAAGATTGTAAAAGTTGATTGTAATTTATATTACATACCTGAATAAATTGGGTCGCTACAATATTGAAAATGATACAATTATTAATTTTCGTAAATATGTAAAAAAAATTGGAAATTCAATCAGCTGTCAAAATAATTCTTTGATATTTACGTCTTTAATTGACTGTTCCCGAGATAATAATGTTGATTTAGTGATAATAATTGCATAAACATAATTCTACAGAACGGCGTCGGGGTTTCCCAGGATTATTTCTGTAGATGTTCTGCTTCGAGTTTATTAACATTAACTCCACTTATCAGAGGAAAATTGGAGTGGGAAGATATATAAAAGAGTAGATCAACAGTTGGCGATTCAGTTTAAAAGTCATCTTAACATGAAGTGTGTCGTGATAATTGCAATTGCAGTCTGCGTTGGACTAGTAAGTTATTCCCTTTGAATAGTGCGTAATTAACTTATTCTAATAAATTTCATTTTTATGACAACAGAGTGAGGCCGTAGATCTCTTCGCAGGTATAACTCGCTTGAAGAATGATGTGACATCAACGTCCAATGATATCGAACGATATGGCAACAATATAATTTTTCAAACGAAATACAAGTTGAATAATTTGAAGATGAATGAGATGCAGAATGTCAATAATGCTGTTGATAACGCTCTTGCACAAATCAAAGTGAGTAATTAATCATTAATTATGTTTTGATTTTTCATTTCAATTAATTTTTTTTTCAAGAGTTCAAAGACATTTTTTGATAATTCTAGCGAATTCTTGTTAAAACCGCTTACTTTCTGCTTTTGTTCCGTACTTCTTGGAGAAAATTGACCGATTTTTATTTTTTTTTGTAATCTTTCATTCCTCATTTTCTAAAGAATGACATAGCAGCTGCCAAGAATGAAGGGAAGAATGCTGATCAGTGCTATGAACCAGCTAGAATGCAACTTCGTGATGCATCAATGACAGTTTTTAAACAATTGGACAAGTGCGTTGAGGAGTCAATTGAGCCTCTGAATCCTGTCGTCAACAACATTGCTTCACACGTTACGGTAACACCCGCATTTATCGAATCTGTTATTTATTAAATTTATCTTTACCTCATAACTTTACTATTTGAAGCCCAAATGTGTAATTCAACGAACGTAATCTTTGGTTTGTATTTTATTTCGTTACTGTAAAATATTTGTCAATCTGGGTTTCAAATTGTGTTGTCAAGGGATTGTCAAACTACTACCTTTGAATTTTCTTTCAAAAATAAGTTTTTAAACGATAGTTGAATAAACAATGTTATGAAATACTCTGAGCAAGACTTAAACAATTTGTTTTAGTGTCTTGTTAATCAAGTTTGAAGATGGAAATAATCGCGATAATCGTTGTATCGATATATAAGAACGATTGCGCAAAATAGATTCTTTGGGAATATTCAAATTTTTTTGTTTATGTCGGTGTTTCGCAAAAAAAAAAAACAAAAATTTGGATATCATAACCCGGATAATTTATTCATAATTTTCCGTGCATCTCCATGAAATCTCTCAACATTCTTCTCACGATTCCTTACAGACCGGGAAGATGCTGCTCTCTGAATTAGATAGAATCGCCCTGAGCTGTTTGTCAGGTACTCCGATGCAGACACAGATCTGCATAGCCCAGAAGATGCCACAGGCGAGTGCTACAGTGAA